AAAGCTCCAAAGGCTACATTTAGCTAACTTTCTCCCTTCTATGTGCTGTAAGACTCCAGCCAAGGACAAATCACTGCACATATTTAGAATGGGTCTTCCAAACTCAATCTAATCAAGACAATGTCTCCCATGTGCACCACGGAGTAGCTTAATCTTGATTATTAGTTAACTTAACTTAATCTTGTTAATTCCTCGGGGTATGCCTGGAGGCTACTGTCTTAGGTGATTCTGGATTTGTGTCAAGTTGGAGATCAATACTGACCACCAGAGTAAATTATTTCTTCGCTCCTTCAGACTCCTGCTGGTTTTTCTGGGGTTGATTTCTGCTTTCTGGTTGCCTAAGCACCTTGTCCCTTGCTGGTCTGTTTCTCATCAGTGCTCCTCCCATGGGCCTCTGCCTGCTTTCCTGGTGAGTCCCTTAGCCCACACAGGGTGATTCGAAACACCTCCTCAGATCTATTTCACACCTTTGTAGAAAACATCTTTCAACTACCTGAAAACATACAAGGATAACTGTGGTAGAAGAACTTTACAACATTGGAATTTCTTCATTTACAGGGAAGGATGGGGAACCCGTGGGCAGGAACCAGATATCCAAGAGAAGGATCCGTGCCAAGGGCACAGCAGCTGTCCTAATCAACACAGAGACTAAGTCATCCCCACAGGCTCCCCAGCATCTCTGGACAACAGCATCAGAGGCTGCAGACTACTGGGGCCACTACAAAACCCTGTTGTGGCGATATATTGTGCACCCCAATAAACTTGCCTGAGGATCAGAGAACAGAGCCAGCCACTAGATTAGACACAGAGGTCAGGCAGTGGTGGCACACAGCCTTAATCCGATCACTAAGGAGACAGAGACCCACTGAGGAGTTGGCGAGGTGAGGTTGACTGTGGCTGTTCTGCTTCTCTGATCTTTCAGCTTTTACCCCGATATCTGGTTCAGGTTTTGTTTTGTTTTTTTTTTAAAATAAGACCTTTTAAGATTTGAGCAACACCCTGTAATGGGTGATCAAGCAGAGGTGAAGTGATTGGAAACAAGCATTTTCAGGGATTATAGACCTCAGTTTCCTTCCCTAGATCATGGGTAGATCAGATGACCTTTACAGACAGATGTAGGAAACAATTTTTTTCTTTGTGGGATAGGGATAGAGCTCAAGACGGGGGTTTCTTTGTGTAGCCCTGGTTGTCCTGGAACTCTTGTGTAGACCAGGCTGGTCTCAAACTTAGAGATCCACCTGGCTGTGCCTTCTGGGTGCTGGGATTAAAAATATGTTCCACCATCCCTGGCTAGGAAGCACTCATTTTATCAGGGACATACTCATTGTCTTCTACTACATGTCCAGAAAATACTGAATAAATTCTTAAAACATCTGAAACAGCTGGCACTTCTGTTCTTTGGGAGTTGAACTAAAGGCAAGAATAGAAAGGAGATAAAAGGGCTGGAGGGAGGTGATAGCCAGCAGGGTGGAGAAGAGGCAGGCAAGGCAGGAAAACAGAAGTGGTGTAAAGGTGGTTGCCGGGCAGAGTCACATCAGGGGAGGTCTTGGTATTGCTAGTGTGATGGAACAGTGTCCAACAAAACGTACCCAAGTCACAAAACTGAGGCAGCTACTGTCTAGCCATTAAGCCTGGGAGTCCCTGGAATAGTGGGAGGAGGGAACTGATTCCCCAAAGTTGTCCTCTGAGCTTACATGAACCATGGCACCCCCTCCATGCAAATAAATTAGTAAATATAATATTTTAAAAATTCTTATTTGAACTTGGATGTTCTGTGCAGTCTCCCTGGTTTTTTTTCCAAAGGGCAGACAGCTACATTCAGCTCTATTCCACCAGCACAGAGCCACTAAAAAATTTACATGAAAGCCTAATGGTGGGACAGTTGGTGTGGTCAATACCGTTGTATTTGCCTAATGTGCACCAGGCTGTGGGTTCTATATCCCCAGGTTGGGGGTCAAGACAGTTTGTACCCAGCTGTGTTTCACAATATTTAAGCTATGGAGGGCTAAAGGTATGAGAGCCAAGGACACATGTGGCCATTTGTCTCTCATAGCACCTAGGGTGGTGGGTACCCATTGTGTGGCTCTCTCTAAGGATGACTGAGGCACAGCTTGTGCCAACGGCTTCACTTGGGGCAGGAGGACAATGAGCAGATTTTTGCCCCAGCTCTCCATTCAAACAGAATCAACAACAATTAAATAAATAGTACTTCTCAGAAAAAAAAAGGTAAGTAGACTGTGCTCAACTGCCCCATACCCAGTGACTCCCAAAACCTCAGTTTCTTTACTAAGAGAAATCACTTCATTCAGGAAATGTAGTTCAACAGAGGGAAAAGCCAGCCTTGGGAACCCTTAGGCAGAGCTTCAGAGACTAAGACAGACAAATAGAAACAAGATACATCATCCTCCACGTCAGTCAGGAGATTCTTCACCTCAGTGCTGACAGAACAGGTGCCCCAAATCACAGAAAAGATAAGCCTGACTTAACTGTTACTAATCAATCCAGGAATCACAAAAGAAACCATTGCATGAGGCAGACAGACTTCACACGTCCACAGCAGTGAGCTGTGCTTGAAAACTGGCTCCCCTTCATTCAGAGGCTGCTAAGAACATCTTTTGTAAACTTCACTGAAATAGAAATAGTGTTGAAACTGAGGCTGTCAGATGGCTCAGCCCATCAGAGCATGAGAGCCTGCTGTGTTACCGATAAGACCCAAGTTCAAGTCTAGGAATCCACATTAGGAAACTAGATTTAGTTGGCTAGTGTCTGCATGTGAGTCCAGCCACGGCACTGCTATGGAGAGATGGGAAGCAATGACTGAGGACTTGATTGAAACCTCCCCAAAGCAGCAAGTCTCCCCAATAAGACATATGCAAAACAAAACACTAAGAACCAAAGTGTCAGCAGAGACTAAACTCTTCAAAAGTTTTCCTCTGATCACCATACATTCAGGGTTCTCTAGAGGAACAGAACTTATAGAGTAAATCAATATCTATCTATCTATCTATCTATCTATCTATCTATCTATCTATCTATCTATCTATCTGACATTAGAATGACTTCCAGGTTGTGGTCCAGCTAATCCAACAATAGCTGCCTACCAACAGAAGGTTCAAGAATCCTTCTGTTGTTCAGCCCATGAGGCTGGATGCCTCAGCTGGTCTTCAGTATATGTCAGTCTTGAAGAAGTAGGCTCTAATGCCAGTGAAGGCATTAGAATGGACTTGCTAGAGAGTGAGAACAATCAGTCAAAGAGAGAGCTATCTCCCTTCCTCTGTATCCTTTACATAGGCTACTAGAAGAAGGTGGATCTTTCCATTTCAAAGATCGAGGTTAAGGTGGCTGTTTGAAACCTGGAGCTTATGCAGGGACACTTGGCTCAGTCTGGGAGGAAGGGACCGGACCTGCCTGGACTGAGTCTACCAGGTTGATCGCAGTCCTCGGGGGAGGATTTGCCCTGGAGGAGGTGGGAATGGGGGGTGGGCTGGGGGTAAGGGGAGAGGGTGGGATGGGGGAGAATAGGGGAACCCGTGGCTGATATGTAGAACTGAATGGTATTGTAAAATAAAATAAAATTAAAAAAAAAAAAAGATCGAGATTAGAAATTGGTCTTTCCACTTCAAATGATTTAATTAAGAAGAAAATCTCACAGGTGTGCCCAGACATTTGGGTTTTAGTTAATTCTTTGCAGCCCATGTATACCCCACAGATTCCCCCTTTTTGTTTTTTAAATAAGGTGGGCTGTTTACCTGTTTGGCATCCCCCCCCCTTTTTTTTTTCAAGTCAAACCTAACATTTATTGAGAACACAGAAAATCAGTTGACAGACCAGTCCTACTGTTCCTGAGTGATTTAGTTACTAAGCAAACACAGTATAGGTTTTTAGTCCTAACACTAGTTCTAAGGAGAGAAGAGTTAAGAAACCAGTTAAAGGTACAACGAGAGCCGATGATTTTCAAAGAGGCTGTTTTAGTCACATTTAGGAATTATTAGGATCAGTCTATCTTTGAGTCCAGTCCCATGGAGAATTGTCAGCCTCACACCTCTGGAGAAGGTTGGTGCTGAGTTGTCCTCATCATACATGGTCACCAGTGTCCATTATGCATTTGGCCTCCAGCACATACTTCTCCCAGTTCAGGGCCCAGTGAGTGCTCACCTCCAAGTTGTCTGGGTTGCAAAAGAAGGGCAGACTTTTCCCTTCTAAGAGCCTAGAGGTTTGAGGGAGCTACATGCTGGGAAGGAGTCTTTAAAGAAGTACACATGGGCGCAGCCTGTCCAATGGCATCTGTCCTCCCGCTGGGTTGTGGACCTCAGGAAGACCTGGAGGAAGATGTAAGCAAAGGGAAGCTACTGTTGCAAATGTTGAGCAGTTCCCAGGAACTGTGGTCCAGGCTTTCGGTTGAGGAAGAGAAGGTCAGTGTCCTCATGGACGTCCTCATGCAGCTGTGTGCAGAAAGATGCTGGCCCAAGTGAAAGCTGGGGACTTCTTCAGGAGCATAGAGCAGAGGTATGTCATCTGGCTGGTCCACATACAACCTCTCTCAGTAAGCATCCATTGAGAAGTGGAGGTCCAGCAGGGTTTTGCTCAGCAGCGGCAGCAGCAGCAGCAGCAGCAGCAGCAGCAGCAGCAAAGACAGCTTTAACCTTAGCCCCGGGGTGCTGGATGTCGATTTTGCCATTGGCTGTGCAAGCGAGGGCTGAGGTGGAAGAGCAGGTTGGTCTTGGCAGTGGGGTGCGGCCACATCAAAGGCCATCTCGGTATAGTCACCATTGTCTCCACACTCTGAGGATGTTGAGACAGTAGTGGGGCCCTGGGAATTGGTAGCAGATACTGGAAGCAAGTGGTAGATTTCTCCTGGGGTGGGTGTCAGAGGCTGCTGTAGGGAAGATAGGGAGGCAGAAGGATGTGGGGGCAGTGGTATTGTGGGAACGAGATCTCCGGGCTGTAGCAGGATCCAGGAAGAGCAGGACGACCATCAGCTGGAGTACCGCCATCTGATGTCAAAATAGCACACACTTGCAGCTCATGTAGCCAGGGCCATTCTTATCAGGAGGGTTTAGGTCCCATAGTTTGTGTTGCCGAATCTCAAGTACAAGTGTGTAGAAGGCATCCTCCACACCCTGCCGGGTCCTGGCTGATGTTTCCATGTAGGAGATGCCATAGCTGCGGGCAAGGTCCTGGGCCTGCTGAGACTCAACAGTCCGAGCGGCCAGGTCATACTTGTTCCCCACCAGCACCATTGGCACATTATCCGAGTCCTTTATCCATTTGATGTGCTCCCTGTACTGATGGATGTTGTTAAAGGACTTGGTGCTGTTGATGGCAAACACACAGAGGAAACCCTCCCCCGTGTGGATGCATTGGTCCCTCATGGTACCACATTCCTCCCAACCCGCTGTGTCTAGGATGTCCAGCAGACATGCCTCCCCATCAATGACCACCTGTTTCCGATGGAAGTTCTCTATGGTGGGGTCATATTCATCCACAAAATGATTCTGGATCAGCTGGATGGTCAGGGCACTCTTTCCCACACCTCCAGCACCCATCACCGCAAGCCTGTATTCTGTCATCATTTTTGTAGGGACTGTCACTCCAGGAGCTCCTGCCCCACAAGGGGCACGAAGGAGTGGCTGGGGAGCAGAAGGCCCTGATTGGTGATGCAGGTGTCCTTGTAGCCCTGAGGCCAGAGTGTGATGGCCTCAGGGTGCAGAATAACTGAACATGGGTGCTAATTCCCTCTTTTGTTCTATTAAAACAAAAACATATTTAAATTTAACAGCTATTTATCAGAGGATATTTGGCTCTGGGGTTAACTCCCTGTGTTTGTAAAGGGGGTACCGTTAGGAAGGGTTGGCATGCCTTGTATGGACTATCTTTTAAGGTCAGTATCCTAAATCCCAATGCCAGCTTGTTGGCTCGGCGGCTTCCCTTGGACAGAAATCCTGGAAGCCCTGAATGCCTCCTCATATGTTGTATGGGCATTCGCGTCCCTTCAGTAATCCCTCGAGGGCAACCATGAATGGGGAAATTAACCACATACTCTGTTGGACTCTATGAATTCTGGTAGGGGTTTGTTGGTTTTTGTCTTACCCCTACTATGGGAGATTTGGTAGGCCCTTCACCTAATTTGTTCCAGGCCACGAGCCCTGTTTGTCTAACCTGACCTTGGTAAGGACCTTGTACAACCACCTTTTGGACCCCCGTAAAGTACCCTTCAGCTGTACCTGCTAGCATGCCACAGGTGATAGGGATGGGGGGGTTGGCCACCCATTTGGCCTCTACCCTGGTCCGCCATTCCTCCTTATCTTTAGCCTCCCAGGGGTACCACTCTAGAGGTCTATTAGGGCTGACCCATACCTCCCAGTGAGGGGCTGGTTGTAGGGGTCCATATCACGGAGATCTCTCCTTAATGCTATGTATGGTGTTTGAGCAGCCTCAACCCCGGGGTCCCAAGGGGGAGGGCCAGAATCCCTTGAGGCCCAGGGCTTGGGCGCAGTGATTTTTACTTTTTGCTTTAACCTCTACCGTTTATTTCTCTGTGAATCTCACATGCTCCTTGCCGAATTTGGCCCCCATATTTTTTTCTTTACTCTCAGAACCTTCCCCGTTCCTTTTGACCCCTGGGGAGGCCCCTGTTTTCCTTTCTTTCTTTTCTAACCCTTGGGGAGAATCGTTTTCCCTCTTTGACTCCTGAAAAGGGGGTGGCGGGGAATCTGGGTGAAAAGCCACCTTAAAGGCTATGATAGTGGGGTAGAAGCCCAGGGGCGGCAGTATGCTGAAATGTTTCTCCCTTTCTCTTACCAGCTTTTCCATTTGGGCCCAAGTGCTGCAGGAGAAAAGGTTGGCACTAGGCACCCAAAAGGCAAGGAGAATTATAATCTCCCAGGTGGCGACAATATTACTTTAAGAAATTTCAAGCCCTCTAGACTTAAACATATAACACAGGACCTTGGGGGCTGGCTTATCACTTGAGCATTACCCATACTGAGGGTTTTACTTACCCTGGAAGACCGCTTGGCCTTGGCCGAAGTACTTCAAGCCCCATGTTTAGGGCACCAGCTGTGGGGACCTGCCCCACCGGGAACTTAGGTCACCTGTGAAGAGGTGGCCTGGAACCGAGGAAAGGCAAGTGGGTGCCGCTCGCCCCATTCAGAGTCAAGTCAAGCAAGAACTCCTTTACTGATGGGCAGTAAGCCTCATTTATACCAGAAAACCTCAGAACCCTAGGAGGGGGATGAAGGAACCCACCAATCATTTTAAAGATCACCCTATTTACAAGTTGTTTATGCCCTGACACCATCTCCTGTTTTTAGCATAAATAACTTGAGCTAACTTCTTCTCTCACTATTTGTCTTTAATCTCCATACAAACAACCCAAGCTAACTTCCTCTTAGCCAGCCTTTGTATCTATTCTCTGTACAAACAGCTTAAACTAACTTCTTCTGGTACCATTTGTATTCACTCTCTGCACAAACAGCTTAAAGCTTAAGCTCTGTTTATCTAAATTTCTTTCGGCACCCTGTCTGCAGCCTATGTATGCCCCACATGTTGGGTGACCAGAGAGGCCAGAAAAGAGTGTCAGACACTCTGGAGTTGGAGTTACAAACAGTTGTGAGTCACTCTGTAGGTGGTGGGAATCAAACCCGGATCTTCAAGAGAAGCCAATGCTTTAACTTCTGAACCTTCTCTCCAGCCCCTGTATTGTTTGGAATGAAATGTCTGTAGAGTCTACTGTTATTTTTCCGTATCTCCTCTAACAAGGTCATACCCACCAACTTAGAAGAGGTGGAACATCTCAGTGAGGTGTTGCTTTTGTTTCCCTAATCACCAAGGATGCTGTGTGTGTTGTCATAGCTCTGTGGTTTTCTGAACATTCAATGTTCAAAAGGACATTGAAAAACAAAATGCAGAATTTGATCTCAAATCCCACCCCGATTAGGAGTCCTTAGAACAGGAAGCTCATCACTAAGAAACATATGTGAGGCTGACTACCACTCCTCCAAGTAAATAACAGGCTGACCTTGTCGACTTTTTTTTTTTTTTTTTTTTTATTTTTTATTTCAGGGTCTCCTTACCTCTATACACATCTCCTTACCTCTATACCCATCAGGGTGGTCAGACATTGCTGGTAGCTCCAGCCTGGGACAACCACTCGCCCTGTGGCATCCATATGCGTTAAATACTCTAGCCCTGGGGGACGGGGCGGGGGTGGAGGGAGTGGAAGAGGACACATGACTGGCCTGGCCTCACTCTGCACTGAGTATGTGCTGCACAGCCCCAGAAGACCAGGGCTTCAGCTCAGGATGCCTGACTAAATGTGCGGAGCCCCAGGCCATATCCACCACACTCCAAATCTTGGAAAAAATCACCAGAGGAAAGCACCTTCCCACATCCCAGGCTTCAGCGACCTCCTACACCCCACCTACTGTGCTCCACAACTGGCAAGGGTCACCCTGCTTCAGGGAGGCCAGCCTCATTGGCAATATGGTCAGAAAATGACCGGTAGCTGGCAGGGTGGGGTTTTTTTTTCTTTCCCAATTTATATTACATTTTAGTGCTTAGTGAAATTGGAGTGTGTGCATGCCTGTGAAGGTCCAAGGAGAGATTATAAGTCAGCTCCCTCCCTCCACTGTGAGCACTCCCTGAATCAGATTCAGGTGATCAGGCTCGGTGGCCAGCTTCTTCCTCCACCGAGCAAGTTTTATCTCTGGCATGCTATATCGTTTTTAAGCTGTTAACTGCTTATTACTTTTCTGATTCATTTTTTTAAAATTTGAATTGAATGGTTTTTGGTTTTTACAGTACACTGCTAAAACTAGCCCATTCATTGTGTTTTAGCATCATGCTGAAGTGTCTTATTCCCCCTTTTTGAAGGCAGATTCCCTCTAACGCTCACGCAGTCACCGGAAGGAAGGAGCCCACTAGGGGCCAAGTAACATTTCTCCGGACTCAAATTTCTTTTGCTCTCCGCTTTTGGGGTTTCGGAGGCTGCAAGCCAGCGAGAGTCGGCTTTGTATGTGAGAATCATTTACAGAAGCAGCCACTGTATCCGGGTTCTCTCGGATACAGCTGCAGACACTGGGCAGACTGGAAATTCCTCGCCTCTGTGCTGATCGGATGGATGCACAAAATATCAGCGGACACCGCCGACCCAAGCGTCCTCAGCACACCCTACATCCCGCCAATTGCAGAACAAACCAGCACACGAGGCGGACGAACGGCTCAGTTCCACCTCATTACCCTATTCTAGGAAGGGAGGGGAAAGTCTTGATCCGTCTAGAGGACGTAAAGAACATCTTTTGTAAATTTCAATAAAATGGAATGTTGAAGTTGAAATAACGACATTGAAGGAGGGTGGGAAGCAGAGAAAGAAATTACAGCGGAGCTGGAGTGAGGATGGCTCAGCGGTTAAGAACACACACTTCTGGCACCCAGAGCTGCAGGCTCACAGCACAGCTTCAGGGCATTCAGCACCTTTCGCTTTTATGGTCACCTGGGCTCACATGCGCGCACACAATTAAAAATAATACAATTGTTTAGTAGTAAAAATAATTTAAAGAGAAAAAATATTACAGACGGACATCACCCCAGATTGTAGACACAAAAATCTCTCTTGAGAGCGTCTTTGGAGGTTCTAGCCGGAGAGCGGAGACTAGTCCTCCTCTTTGGGGAAAGCTGTCCTCTTCGACTGGGAGAGCAGCTTCTGGAGGGATGTGGAACTCTGAGGAAGGAAGAGGACGCCTGGCCAGCTAGATCGGCCGAATCAACCAACCCTGGCGATCAATGGGGTGACAGATGTCGCAGTTAGATCTCACACCCATAAAATTCTTTCTTAATTAAAAAGATTGAAATAATTGCGAGTGTGTTTGCTAGGGCACACACGTGGAGGCAGAGGACAGACAGCTTTGCGGAGCCATCCCCCTCCTGTAGATTCTGGGCTTGTAAACCCCTTTTCCTGCTCAGCCATCTTGTCAGCCCAGCATTATCTTTAACAAGATATCACAAAACAAATTTAGTTTCTGAAGTTAATACAAAACCAAAACAAACGAAAGAATGGTAAAACAACTCACCCAACACACCTAAAATGAATTGCGTGTGTGCAGCAAATAATTGGAGTTAATTTTTTTATATCTTTCCAAAGACAGTAGTGTGTGCGTGTGTGTGTGTGTGTGTGTGTGTGTGTGTGTGTGTGTGTGTGTGTGTAGGCTTGTTTCATTTTATATTCATTTTATATTGTTTTGTATCTACGAGCATTTTGCTTGCATGTACGTATGCGCGCTCTGTGCGTGCTTGGTGCCAGTGGAACCCGCATTGTGGTGTCTGCTCTCCTGGGGCTGAAGTTACAGACAGTTGTGAGCCACTATTTTAGTTCTGGGAACCAAACCCAGGTCCTCTGCGAGAACAGTAAGCAGCCCCTCAAAAACGAGTATTTAAGAACAAATCTTACAAAAGATCCTAAGGTCTCTGCAATACAAGAAGCATGGTGGGAGGAGTAAAGGAGACCCGAGTAAGTCTGCGCGGCGGGAGACCGCTACCCCGCATTCATTACTTCCTGCTGCTGTAATGAAAACACCAGGACCCAGAGTGAGTTACCGAAGAAAGA